TTATTTATCTACAAAACAAAATGAAACAAAACATGAGTTTAGAATCAGCTGGGCAGTGGTAGCACATGCCTTTAATCCCAGCACTTTGGAGGCAAAGGCAGCAGGATCTCTTGAGTTTAAGGTTAGCCTAGGTTTATAGAGTAAGTTCCAGGATAGCCCAAGTTACACAGAGGAAATCCAATCTTGAAAACAAAACAAACCAACCAATCAAACAACAACAAAAATAACTGAGTTGTTTTTTAACTAGTTTATCTTTTTTTTTTTTTTAATCCGAGAATTCATGAAGAAAGTAACACTGGGTTTTCTTAAGCAAGGCTTGAAAGTCTATAAGACAGCCTTTTACTTGATCCTAAAAAGCAAAGACTAGACTATAAAAGCTATGAACATACTGTAGGATAGCCATGGCAAAGCAAGGGGCGGTCTGGTGGAATAATCACTGTCTAGGGAGTGGAAAAGCAGAATGTTACTGAAGAAGGCTATTTGCTAGCACAATAAAACATGGCTGAACCTTTTCCCAACCAGCTTACACCTACACCTCTGCAGCTCCCCTTCCAGAGGCCCTTCCAAGTACTCCTTAATCTCAGTGTCTGAAGGAAGGCTTCACTTCCAGTCTCTGGTACACATGCTGGTATTTTAACCAAATGGTCAGAAGGGGCCACTGTTGTACAGGTCTTGGGGGAAGCAAGCACCAATAAATCACACCCTGACTGGCAACTGTCTCAGCTTGTTAAAAGCAACCTCCTGTTACTCTCTGGGTTATAAATAAGGTGGATTCATTACTCTTGCTAAGTAAGCAGATGTCTTCTCCAGCCAGGCCAAACCCAGTTTCAATGTACTGTCTACTGAGATAGTCTGTCAAACATCAGTTAAGTCACTAGACATTGAACCCATGGTCTGAGGAGTACTAAGCCCATACTCTTCCTCAGTGCCACACCCTCAGCCTACTATCAGACTTGTTTTCAGTTTTTGAAATTACCAAGATGATATGTGGATAAACTAATAACAAACACTCTGGGTAACTATGAACATATCTGAGTAAGGTATGAATTCTGAATGTGTGTCATTATGCTATACATAAAAAGTTCTTGACTCCCGCAGGTTCTATACCATGGCTGAATGTAAAACATGAACTGTTGGCATTTTGAAATTTGACCTCCAGGCCAGAGAGATGACTCAGTGGGTAAAGGTACTTGCCACAAAGCTCGTTAACTTGAGTTCAGTTCCCAAGATGGTAGAGGGAGAGAACTTCTGAAAGTAGTACCTAATCTCATCATGCATACTGTGGTATGCACACCATAGACACACATACAAAATAAGTAAATAAATGTAATTTTTTAAAAAGTTACAAGGCTACATAGTGAAAATCTGTCCCACTAAATAATTAATTAAATTCGTTTCATGAATCAAAAAGGTTGTGCAACATGAGCTATATCTAAATACTTTCTGCAGAAAAGAATAATCTCAGGGACTAGTTTTTTGTTGTTGTTTTAGGACTCTGGGGATTATAATAATTATACAGCCAACAATAATAAATATAGCCAATGAGCGTCTTGAGATCTCCTAGTCAGAATGACATTGTCCAGCATCATTTCTAGCCATATTTTCTATTCATTACTTAGAAAAGACAAAGATAAACACAATTAAGAAGTAATCACAGCCGGGCAGTGGTGGTGCACGCCTTTAATCCAAGCACTTGGGAGGCAGAGGCAGGTAGGGATCTCTGTAAGTTTGAGTCCAGCATAGTCTATAGTGGGGAGTTCCAAGATAGCTAGGGCTACACAGAGAGACACCATCAAAAACAAAACAAACCACAATCACCTTTAATCCCAATGCTGGGGGTAGGGGTCAAGGAGCAGAGGCAGGTGGATCTTTGAGTGCCAGGTCAGCCTGGTCAGATCTACAGAGTTCCAGGCCAACCAGGAACAAGGATGAGAGGTAAGCATCATAAACATACTGCATATGTATGAGAATGCATTGCGTTATAATGACCTCTTTTGTGCTTGCCTCGAGCTAAGTTCAGCCCTATATTTGTAGAATAGATAGAATACTTATCACGGTAATCAGAACAGAAAAAAGATTAGAAAGAAGTAAAGAAAGAATAGGAGATTTAAAACAAGAAAGACTAGTTGCCTGGGTGCCTGTATGACTTACTATTTACAACAGATGCTTAAGAGATGTTTCATTTGCGTGGGTAGGTGGTCTATTTTGAGTCCAGCATAGTCTATAGTGGGAGTTCCAAGATAGCTAGGTTGCTTGTTTTTTGTGTTTTACCTGGATATATGTCTTGGGGTTTTTTCTCTGTTTGTTTGTTTGGTTGGTTGGTTGGTTGGTTGGTTTTAGGTTTTTTTTCAAGACAGGGTCTCATTATTTAGCCCTGGCTCTCCTGGAACTCACTCTGTAGACCAGGCTGTATTTGAATTTAGAGATCCTCTTGCCTCTACCTCCTGAGTGCTGGGATTAAAGGTGTGCACCACCACACCCAGCTGTGTCTATATATCTTGTACATGCATTCATTGCCCAGAGAGCCAGAAAGAGTATCAAGTTCCTGGAACTGGAGTTAATGGGTATGATAGTTTGTATATGCTTGGGCCAGGGAGTAGCACTATTAGGAGGTGTGGCCTTGTTAGAATAGGTGTGTCCACTGTGGATGTGGGCTTTAATACCCTTCTCCTAGCTGCCTGGAGATGAAGATGTAGAACTCTCAGCTCTGCCTGCATCATGCCAGCCTGGATGTTGCCCTGCTCCCACCTTGATGATAATGGACTGAACCTCTGAACCTGTAAGCCAGCCCCAATTAAATGTTGTCCTTTATAAGAGTTGCCACAATCATGATGTCTGGTCACAGCAGTAAAGCCCTAACTAAGACAATGGGTGAGTCATTCTTTTTCTGCCAGGGTGAATGGCTTTTTGAGGCAGTGCCTCAACTTCAGTCTGGCCTCAAATTTGCTATATAGTAGCCAAAGATGATCTGAAATGATCCTCCTGCCTCTATCTCCCAGCTGAGATTACAGATGTGTTTCCATTTATGGTGATCTCCAAAACCAACAGTTCACAAGCCAGGTAACAGGAATTTGATCTTCAGAACCCATGAGAAGGTAGAAGAACTCACTCCACTGTTTCCTGACTTCCATACATGTGCTATGAAGCCCACATGCCCACATATACACAGTATGCACACATATGTGCTCACAAGTACAGAATGCATACACATACACACACACACACACACACAGTGTTCACTAAAAAATTACTTGGGCAAAATTGTTAACTGATGATATAAATTAATCCTATAAATAAAAAAAAATGGACTTTCAAAATAATAAAACAAATCTTTTAAAAAGCAAACAATTAAGCCCAGAATGGTGGCCCACGCCTTTAATCCCAGCACTCAGGAGGCAGAGGCAGGCCGATCCAAGGCTAGCCTGGCCTATAGAGTTCCAGTTCAACTGTTACAGGATATTTGAACCTGTTTCTAGTTAGGATGTGGCTGAGCCCTTAGCACACATGTTTTAATCTCTCTGGCCGGGACACAGACATGCCCTCACTACACACCTTTACTCCCAAACAATGAAGCTAAAGTTAGTTTGTAGAACGAAACACTCATGTTTAAAAGTCGTGTCTAACTGATTGGCAGAAAAAGTGATGACTCAGAAAGATTCGACAGAATAGGATATGCCCAACTCTCATAAGAAGAGAGAGGAAAGGAAGCTACTCAAGGGAGAGACAGTACAGGAAGAAGAGAGTGCAGTACAGGAGTACAGTAGAGTTTGTGGAGTGCAGTACAGTCGAGAAGGAGAGTAGAGCACCACAGAGAAGGAAAAGGAGACAGATTTATCAGAAAAGTTTTAGAGACAGACAGATTCAGAGGCCAGAGGCCAAGAGAAAACCAGATTGAATAGCACAGCTGGGAGAGGAGTTTGAGCCAGAACAGCTGAGTTGAACCAGCCAGTCAGAGTCAAAAAGAACTAAGAAGGGGTGAGCTTATTCAGCAGCAAGTCTCAGAGGCTGAAAACATTCTAGGCCTAGATTAGTTTGTTTGGAGGCTAGAGGCTTCCAAGACTAAGCCTAGGTTAGCAGATGTCAGCGGGCCTCCCAAACAACTTCAAACAGCAGTGTACACAAAAAGAAACCCTGCTTCAAAAATAAAAAAATAAAAAAATAAACCCAACAAAATAAAAAGGTAGGGGGTAAATAAATAAATAAATGAAAAAGCATACAATTATCATTAAAGGTAAAATTAAGTGATGAGTCTCTCCTAACTTGCGATATTTGTCTTCTATCAGTCATCAATATCATAGTTGACTGACAATATGAGAAAGAACTGTGGAGAAAATTCTGAGGCTAGGAAAGGTATATGACAGAATATTAATTATTTAGATATTTGTAAAAACAGACATAATCATAGGGCAAGAAATACAGCTGAATATAGAATACTTGCCCACCATGAGCCAGGCTCTAGGTTTGGTTTTTCTGCAGCACAAAAAAAAACAAGCAAGCAAACAAGTCATAATCCAGCTAGAGCTAGCAAGATTTTTGTCTTTTCTTTTCTGCCACCATGAGGATCAAATCCAGGTCCTTGAATATGCTAGGTAGTTACCCTACCAATGAGTGACATTCTCAGCCATCAGGCTAATAGTTGTGATGTTTTGTTATTGTTTTTGTTTCATGATCACTATGCCAACAAGCCAGGAAACAAATGTATAACAAAGAAAACAATTTACAGTTTTATAGAGTGAAGAAGTTATCCTCTGCCGGGCGGTGGTGGCGCACGCCTTTAATCCCAGTACTTGGGAGGCAGAGGCAGGCGGATTTCTGAGTTCGAGGCCAGCCTGGTCTACACAGTGAGTTCCAGGACAGCCAGGACTACACAGAGAAACCCTGTCTCGAAAAAACAAACAAAAAAAAAACCAAAAAAAAGAAGTTATCCTCTCCAACAGAACACTGAGGCAGACTAGCATGCTAAACACTATAACAAATAAGACAGTTAAGCAGTTACTTACAAGGAGTTCCCCTGCAGGCTTCTTCCATAGTCACTCTGACATAGGGCTTACTAAAGTCAACTTCAATTTCATCAGAAAAAGGAGCTGGCTGCCGTAAACCCTAAACAAGAACGTTACAGAAAATAGTTAAAGTCAATGGTATTCACTGAAGTAGTCAACATAACATAGCTTTAAAGAACAGTCAGTTATTCAACCATGTGACTAAAACTTTGTAACACTAAGAAGAAAAGCATTCCAAAGTGAAGAGTGAAAGTTGCAACATTCTTCAGACTGAGTAAACAGTGTCCTGAAGAAGGAACACCTATCTGGCTATTTCAGAGTTAAACTGAGCAGTCTGATTGGGAAGCTAAGCACTGGCTCTGGAGGCCCCCTCACAGAATGGTGGAACAGCAAACCTTGGACCCTGTGACAAAACTTCCGTACTGCCTCAACTAGAGAACAGGAAGGCGAGCAGCTCCTCAGTAGAACGCTGGCTGCTTAATGCCTACTGTGATGTTATGTTCAAATGCTTCCAAGGACTACTTGTAACAGCGTGCACACATTTAAAGAGGAAACAAGGGTCAGAAAAGTTATGAGAACTGTATGTGTTAAGAAGTAAAGCTGAAACCAGAATGTGGGTGTGCTTGTCTTTCTGTACATGGCTTTGCTTGGGAGGTTTTGTTTAATTTATTCTTAAAATTTTATTTCATTTTTTTTTTTGGTTCTTTGAGACAGGGTTTCTCTAAAATTTTATTTCTATTGGATACTATAATTAATGGAACTTTTTAAAAAAGCACTTTGGTTGTTTCTTATTAGTATATAGAGATGCACCAATTGTGTTTGTGGGACTACAATGGACTTCTGTATATTTCCTTGGTCCCATAACTCAGCATAACTCAACTAGTAGGTTGGTTTTGTTTGAGAAAGGGTCTCTGGACTCCTGATCCTCTGCCTCTACCTCCTAGGAGCTGGGATTACAGCTGTGTGTCACCACGCCCGGCTTCACCTATCAGTTTTAGTGGTTGTCAGGTTTTCTTGATGCCTTAGGAGTCTCTACACATGAAATACTGTCATCTACCAGGCGGTGGTGGCGCATGCCTTTAATCCCAGCACTTGGGAGGCAGAGGCAGGAGGATTTCTGAGTTTGAGGCCAGCCTGATCTACAGAGTGAGTTCCAGGACAGACAGGGCTACACAGAGAAACCCTGTCTCGGAAAAAAAAAAAAAAAAAAGAAAGAAAGAAAGAAAGAAAAGAAATACTGTCATCTACAGTCTAATTGTGAACAAGTACAATTTAATGGAGTTCTCGTCAATCTGGAGGTTTTATTTCTTTTTATCATACCATATTGCCATTAGAACTTCTAGTACAACACTGAGCAGAAGTGGGGAGATAAATATCCTTGCCTCATTCCTAGGCTTGTAGCAAGGGAATCATGAATCTTTCACTATCACATATGATGTGAATTGTAGGTTTGTCTAACTTTTTTTTTTGAACTAGGCTGAGGCAGCAGTTCTCAACCTGAAGGTCTCGACCCCTTTGAGGAATGCATCAGATATCCTATATATCAGATATTTACATTATGATTCATAACAGTGGCAAAATTATAGTTATGAAATAGCAATGAAATAATTGTATGGTTGAGGGTCACCATAACATGAGGAACTGTATTAAAGGGTTGCAGCATTTCTGCTCAGTTCGAAGACTGAGAACCACTGTCCTAGTGCCAATTGCCATGGTAGCATATTATAACTATGTAATTTAATACTGTTTGCTCAACTCAAACATTAACAGGTAAGTACAGAAATAAATATGATACGATACAAGATGAAGTGTCATTTTGCAATGAGAAATTAAGCAGTGCCATATACCACAACATGAGTTAATCCGGAAAACTTATTCAGCAAAAAAGGTCGGCCACATCGTATACTTTTTCATTTATACATAATATCTGTACAAAGCAACACTAAAGAGAGAAACATTAGTGGTGTCCAAAAGCTGAGTAGAAATGATTTGCTAGTAGATACAAGGCTTCTGTGGAGTAGTAAATACACTCTAAAATTGGTTACAGGGTGATGACTGAAAAAACAATCTGTGACTATACAGAAAACGTCTAACTTGCTGGGCTGTGAGATAGGTTACATGATATATCAATTACAGTTCAATGCAGCTGTTCCAAGGGAAGAACAGTTTTGTTTGTTTTGCTACAGAGTCAAAAGAAGTTGAAAGTACAGGGGTACAGTGTTGACAACAAACAATGGCAGACGCTTTTCCCTCTAGGGTCAGTCAGCATGCTGGGTGAGGGGTCTGGGCCATTGGCCAAGACTAAATAGCTGGCATATACCCAGGAGATGTGATAGCAAGTCACTGAGTCCATGTAAACATTTTACAGGAATCTATAAAGCAAAGTAATTTAAAGCCATGAAATCCTCCAGTTCTAAAGACCAAGGAATTTCAGTCTTCTCAAAGCTCATTTCTCCAAACAGACTGAAAGCCTCTGCTCAGTTCCCCAGTACAGAGACTGCAGCTCTGTAGTTATTAGCTGTCCTTACTCCAGATGGACTCTTTAGTCTGAATTCTCTGAGAAACTTTCAGAAATTAACAATGCACTACTTTTTTGTTTTTTGGATACAGTGTCTCACTTGTAGTGTTTGCTAGCCTCCACTCTAGATGTAAACCAGGCTAGTCTTGCACTCAGAGATCTCTACCTGCCTGCCTGCCACGTTCAAGAAAACTGGTGCGCTGGGCATGAACACAGACTTGTTGGCTACTAAGCCATCTTCTGAGTCTTCTATGACATGTAGAATCACACTCCCTAAAACATCCACATTTTATTCTACAGAACTTATCAAAGTGTTAGCTTATATAGCATAAGGAGTTTTATAAATATAGCTAAATTCAGGTTATCAGGGCAAGAAAATTATTCTGGATAATATGGATATGGCAGATGCAATCCTAAAGTTTTTGTAACTAGAAAGAAAAGATAGGGAATTGCAAGTCAGAGCTATGTGATGACAGAAGCCCCAGTGAGAAGAGTGTCACTGCGCCAGCACTGCATGCCACACAATGAACACCTCTGGAAGCTTAAGGAAAATAAAGGAAACAGACTTCCCCCAGCACTGTCTCTGCCAACGCTGCTTTTAGCTCCAACACCCATTTCAGACCTCTACTCTCCAGAACATAATCCACCTATGGTTTAATATTAACTCCAATGATCTCCAAGTGTCTTCTGATGTTTTTAGGGGAAGCTTTAGAAAGGTCCCAAGCTGAGACAAGATAGGAAGTTTGCAATGGTGTCCTTCATCTAAGGCTCACAGTAGTCTAGGAAGTATGTCATAATGTCCCAGAGATGGAGGTATATAGGAGACAGTGGTGGCTGTGCCCAGCAGTAAAGTGAAGGATGACACAGGAAGGACAGAAGAACACAGGACACATCCTAAATCACTAGTGGGAACCACCACGCCTTGACTTTGTTACCACAGATTTGACTTTTAGCCCAACACGGGCATATGCTCCAAATTTTCCCAACCACTTTTTTCAATTCCCATGAACAGCTCCTACAAGTGAGTTGTAGTTCACGTGGCAAGACAGCCTTCCCACTCACGGTTTTCTCTGCCCATCGTTTAAGAACACTAACGCCAATGTCATAATGTCCTATCGCTCTCTCCTCCACCACCAGGTGTTGCCAGCCACAGCTCTTCACTTACAACTGCGCAGCGCTGCACTTTGGAAGGAATTCCATCTTCCTCTGTTGCTCCGTTAGGACCAGGTGCCTCTTTCCTCCTCTTCCTCGAATTGACTTTAGCTGAACTCTGTGCATCCATCTTCTTTTAACTGTTCAAAAAAAGGGAGAGAAGTGAAAAAGTGTCTGAACCAGTATTTCAGAGATAAAAGCATAGCGTTAATTACAAAGCATACATTTCACCAAGATAAGCCAATGGCAAAAACAAGGATTCATATAAAACAACACTGTGGAACAATGGCCACAGTTAATCTCCTGACCTTGAAACTCCTCCCAACACTGCAGCCTACACACAGCCAATTTCATATCTTGGCTGTGTGCAGAGGACTGTAATAACTGGGCTAAAAAATGATTCCAATTCAAATCAAATTAGCTAAAATGCTTGTGACCAGAAGTGCAGACTTTAAAGTTTTTTGGATTCCTAACCTGAAAACCTGAAATACAAAACACTGTGAAATCTGAATTATTTTTATCACACTGAGGATATTCAACCTACACAGTGTGTGTGTGTGTATATGTGTGTGTGTGTGTGTATATGTGTGTGTGTGTGTGTGTGTGTGTGTGTGTGTGTTGTATGTATTGGGAGGTTGAAACAGGGTCTAATGAGGGCCTAAAACTCAACCTATAGGTAGACCAGGGTGGCCTCAAACTTGTGATGCTTCTCCTGCCTCTACCTTCCAAATGCTACAATTACAGGACTGGGCCCCACTTCCGGCTCATACTCTGTGTATCTATAGAAATACAGAGGTGCAATGTGAGAGCTGTCTTTGGTAAAATGCTCTTGCCTCAGCCTTCGAGTGCTGGGACTACAGCTAAGAATCACCATGCCATTTCTTCTTCTTTCAGGGTCACCACCTCATACTAGTTCACAATTTCCAGCTAATAAAACACACCAAATCTCTTTCTTTAAAAGAAAAACTCACTTTTCCGTCTAACTTAGCAGAGAGTTTCTGGCACTTACCTTTCATGAGAGTGAGAACCACCAATGTTCCTGTTTAGATGTGGGCTTACGATACCCTGCTAGCTCCCAGCAGAAATATTTGCATTAAAAAATTGTTTTTACTACATTTATATTAGTGTGTGTGTGTGATATATGTGGAAGATGTCAGAGGATAACTATTGGGAGCTAGTTCCTTCCTCCTACTACACAAGTACTGGGGACTGGACTCAAGTTGTCAGGTGACAATGCCTTTACCTAAAGAACCACCCTGTTGGCTCCAAATTTGCATTTTTCTTGAGTAATACAATCTGCATGGAGGAACTGATTTCTTTTTAATGATGAATTGTTAGGCTCCCCAAGTACAGAGAGAGAGGAAGCTCTACAGTGAACTGTCATTTCTACGTAAGGTAATGAACAGCACACTGGAAAATCCTCTGAACAAAAGGGGGAAAACAACAGACAGACAGAATGAAGCCATCCCCTTTGCCTTCATGCCTCCTGTAAGCCCTTCTGGACAAGCCATTCTTCTGAACAACTGCAGCTCTGCTTCCCTTCCCTTCCTGCAGTTCAAGTCCATGTGGAAATGTGGCAAGATCTACAAGAAACCTGGCCAGATTCTTAAGAGGCCGAAGGTAACGCCCCATGAGTCATGGCTAAGCAGGAGCCTGACCTAGAAAGATATCAGTTTAGAGTGACAGGAGAACACACCCAGAAACTGCCTTTCCTTATAAACACAAACTGGCATGGAACAAAGGGCAGTGTCTGGAGAGAATGAGTTCTCCCAGTTAACTGTTCTTCCAAATGTGCGCTGATCAGAGAGGCTTGGTTAAGAATGAAGTCAGTCCAGTTTCTCACTTGCTTACTGCGGGCCTCTTCTATAAGCATCTGTTGAATTCCTCTACTGAGGCTTCCCTCTTCCAGGTGATTGTATTTTGTGTGTGTGTCAAGCTGATGACAACTAAGCCGCACATATATAAAACATCACAGTATGCCAGGATAGTGATACAGGCTTGTAATCTCAATACTTGAGTGTCAAACGCTGAAGAATGAGTTCAAAGCCAGCTCAGTCTATACAGCAAGTTCCATGGCAGCTGAGTTACACAGCAAGACCTTGTCTCATAAAATCAAAACCTGGAAATGTAGCTCAGTGGTAAACTTGCCTATCATGCAAAGGCATTTGGTACAGCTTTGAGCACCACAAAAACATAATCACGGTGTAGATGTGAGTAAAAGCACCACTGCCAAGCCTGATGACCTAAGTTCAATGTCCAGGTCCCACATGGTGGAAGGAAACTACTAACGCCTGAATGTTGTCCTTTGACCTCCACACATGCACATGCCTCCCATAAATAAATGAAGAAGTAAAAAAGTGAGTAAGTGGACTAAAATTAAATGTAGGTAGCAACTATTTTAAGGAGGCTTCAGCCAGGCAGTGGTGGCTCACGCCTTTAATCCCAGCACTTGGGAGGCAGAGGCAGGCGGATTTCTGAGTTCGAGGCCAGCCTGGTCTACAGAGTGAGTTCCAGGACAGCCAGGGCTACACAGAGAAACCCTGTCTCAAAAAAAAAAAAAAAAAAAAAAAGGAGGCTTCAATTGCTACATGGAAGTCACATGCAGGGGTGCACCTTTAGAATGTCTGATAAAGGATCCCAAACCCGTCATGTGACAGTTTGCTAAAGAACAAGATATTTACACAATGTCAAAATATCTCTCCATAGATTATTAATTACAAAGGGGAAAGTGTTACCTTGATAGTAGGGATGTGGAAAATGACTCCACAAAACCATCCACAATCCCTCCTGTTCTGAGGTACTAAAGACATACCACCCATACAAAGTGTGTCAGCAAGAAACAAACAAACAAACAAACAAACAACCCCCAACTGAAGAACAACCCACAGAAGCCTGTAGTCTTCAAAAAGTGCCAGCCATGAAAAGCCATGGAAGGCTGACAAACTAACCCTCCAGAACTTGGTAATTACACTGTCATGTGCTATTTGCTTTTAGGAGCCATACACTGAAGTGTCTTGAAACAGAAAAGCATGATCTACAGCTTACTCCAGGTACAAGGAAAACGAGAAGCAGAAGAAAGAAAATATATTTGACAATGGCAAATGTTTGCAACATATGAATCTCAGAGGGGAATATGGGAGTTTACTTTAACATTCCTGAACTTCATGATGGGCTTCACTTTTTATATTTTCCCCAACACAAACAGAGGAAAGGAAAACAAGGAAAATGTGATATATATATGCAGAGCTGAAGTGTGACTCAGTTGAAAGCACTTGCCTACCAGCTACAAGGTCCTGTGCTGGATCCCAAAGTGAGAAAAGAGTAAAATATGACCCTAGATTGAACACAGAGAAGTTCATCTCAGTACTCCTGCAACTTTACTTTCTTTTCATAATAAAAGGTTTTATTTTAAAAATCTCTACAATTTCTTACACAGATCAGCTCTTATATGAGATCATCTCTGGAGTCTCAAGAAACTAGTTCCTTCTCAGTTCCAATATGTTGAATCCTAACATGTGCTACATAACACATATTCATTATATATATATATATATGAATATATATTACATACATACATACATATATAGCAAGTGCTATATAATGAATGCTGTGTTTTACAGCTCTGTTGAAGGATAATTGACATACATTAAACTGCACAAGGAAACTGGAAGAATATTCAGTGATTAAGACAGCAGACTGCTCTTCCAGAGGACCCCAGTTCAGTGCCCAGTACTCACATCAGCCAACTAATAACTGTGTGGTGACACATGCCTTTAATCCCACCACTTGGGAGGCAAAGGCAGGCAATCTCTATGAGTTTGATGCCAGCCTGGTCTACATAGAGCCCTAGGACAGCCAGGGCAACATAGACTTTGACTCAAAAAACTAACATTAACACACACACACACAAACAAACAAATATACACATACACTGCACATTAATACATCTGCGAAATCAGACTTAAAGAATACTAGCATATCTAACACCTTCAAGTTTCCTTATACCACCTTGTAGCCTGCCCTTCCCCCTCAGGTTTAACACTGATTTAGTAATGTTCTGCTGAGAGCTAATGGCACATGGCATCACAATGACAGAAACACATTCAAAAGGCAGAAATCACAGGGAGAGGCTGCTTTATCTATACATGTTTCTGAAGAAACTCTGAGTTCCATAGACCTACCTTAATACGTACCGAGAGGCAGAGCCCCCAGAAACATCCCATTAGGCTCCATCTCTTAAAGGGTCACTCATCACACTCTTACACCAAGAACCATGCCCCCACAAATGAACCCCAAAGGGATCCGCTCAAAGTATATAAAAGCCACAACATTCTGCCTGTTGCCCCCAAAGTTCACGTCAATCTGTTCTGAAACAACCCAGTGCAGCCCCCAAGGTACCACGAGACTAAGAAGCAAATAGACCTAGGCTATACAGAATATAGTTTATTGGAGGATGACTGACTGACAGAAATATGGTCATAAGCAGCATGAGACCAGTTAGAACCTGCAAGATGGGTCAAGTAGGGGAGGTGTTATTTATGGGTCAGGACAAAAATGACTTTGTCATGACTGGAATGTACTTGCTTTATCTTAAGATAATAGTAAAGAGTCAGGAGTGTCCCCAGATCAAGGGTCCTATGATATAAATCAATGCATATGACTCTACTCTAGTGATTTTCATTCATATATGGTTTGCTGGGAAAGTGTGCAAAAAAAGGTTACTTAGAAGCAGATGTGGTGGCTACAGCTCAAGGCTGTAGTCACATGAATCTACATCCTTATCACCTCACAGTGCAAAATTCTCACTCCCCTCCAGTGCCAAGCAGAAGTCCAAAGTCTCATCTGAAACTCAAGACAACCTGTAGTGAGAATTTTGGTTTCTTAAAAAACACATCTATGTTCTGTGAATATGTGGGATTTGGGGCTGTTTCAGATTGCACAGAAACTAACTGCTCTGGCAGGGTTATGATTCTGCCAGCTGAAGATACATTTGGAATTCTGGAGACCCTGAGAACCCCAACAGGCTGCTGCTCCCCCTGCTGCTGCAGTTTATCAAGTGGTCATGAGCCAAAAGATACAACTACTAAGATCAACACTGCCCCAAGGAACTCGGTGCCACTCATCAGCAGGAAATAGTCTA